ACACACACTCTCTCTCTCTCTCTCTCTCTCTCTCTCTCTTTCTCTGTCTTCTCCTGGCTAAACATCCCCAGGTCCTTCAACCAATGCTTCAATGACATGGACTCAGGAGCCTTCAACATCCTGAGTGCCCTGTTCTCCATTTTCTCCAGTGTATTAATGTCCTTAATATGTAACATACAAAATTGAATACAATCTTCCAAATATAGTCTGAGCAGAACAGCATATTAAGGAATTACTGCCACATTTATGTTTTTAATGACTCAGGAAACAAAAACAAAAACAATTTTAAATAAAAATCAACTCCCTTAATTTATAGCTTTCTATTAAAAAAAAAACTTCATCAATTCACTCGAAATACTAGAAGGGCAAAAAACAAATTGTTTCAAGTTCTGCTTTCCAGCACACTTGGTTTTTTCTCCCACATTCATATTCATCAACAGCAGAGAGACTTACTCAAGTCAGTACATATATGAACAATTTTGTCACTGCTTTAGATCAAGCATTGATTCCTTAAAGAAAATCTTTTCTACAAAAAAATTTGTAGGTAATCTCTTACCACTACATTCAGTCACACAGACTATAAATCTTTAAAAGAATAAAGCCATAAAATAGGAAGTAGTCACAACAATATAAATTTAGATTCTACCTCTCTTCCAGAGCCCTAAAACTCTACAAAAAAAGGCCCATCAATTACTTCCTCATACATGTCCTCATATTATTAGTAGCAACAGTGGAAATGCTTATTTTTCACCCACACCTAAAAATATTTACTCAGTTAAGACTGGCGACATGAAGCAAGACTAAATTACTACAACTACAAGGAAGCAAATTTTCCTTTTCTAAACAAATGATTCAAAAAATTTCTGAAGTTTTCTCTGAGAAAGAATTAAAAGATTAAACTTTGAACCCTGAAACTAGGATTCTGTAAACAGCTCATTTACAATTTTTTGGAACCAATCATTACAAAAGAGAATTAGCACCACTTGAATTTAAAAATAAGAGCAAAAAGCAGAAAATATATTCAAATACCAAGTCAATTATTATTGTAATAAAGACGATATTTCTAACACCTTGCTAAGTAAGAATTATGAAAAGAAAGTTTCTAACAACCTGACTCATTCGTGAAACATTATTGGTCCTACTGATAAAAGACAGGCTGGCAATTCAGAGGCAGGACATCTGAATTTGAACAACATCTGACACCTACTGAGTCTATGACCCTGGGCAAGTCACTTGGCTTTTCTGAGCTTCCATTTCTTTATGTGTAATATGGAGATAATCAAGAAAACTAATTGTAAATCTTAAAAGTGATATACATAAAACGTGAACTATTATTATTCATGCTTATATGCACTAATGAACTTAAATGATAACTGACATTTATATATGGCATTTTACTTTTTCCACAATAATTGGCCAAGGCATGTTATTTCACTTGAAGCTCCCTTTAAGGAAGGTACTACAGGTATTATGATACCTACTTTATTGCCTTGGAGAGGTTAAGTGACTTGCCAAAGAAAATAAGCTAGTAAAGGTCAGAAGCAGGATTGAAAGCAGGTCTCCCTGACTCCAACTTCATCAATCTTTCCACTGACTTATCAGAAATATAATAAAACAAAGTACTTTCCTCAGGAGCATAAACATTATCTCTACTGTACAAATAATAAAACTGAGACTCAGGCAAAGTGACTAGTCTGTGTGGTAAGGCCAGAAGCCAGGCCCAGGATTTGTGACTTTCAGTAAAGCTACTGAATATACTGTGTACTTTCAGGTGGAATAAAAGTGCCATGATGAAGTTGACCTGAGGCATCATTAGTGTGGCACAGTAGCCCCTTAACCTGAATCCTGCAAGTACTGATAAGACAGATAAGTACTGATACTTGGAAACATACAGAATTTACCCTTCCATGATGACCAAGAAAACAACCTGTTTCAGGATCCAATCCAGTAAGGGCCCACTATGTGCTCACCCCTGTGATAGGTGGTACAGATACAAAAACAACAAAGAAACAATGCTTCCATCAAGGCACTCACATTCTGGAATAGAGGGGGAAAGCAGGGTTGAGGGGATACAACATATAAACAGATAGGCATACGCATAATTATTATTTAAAAGTGAGAAGATTAGCAACTGGCAAGGATTTCCTACAGATTGTGGCACATGAACTGAATGCTGAAGGAGACCAGGGATTTTAGAAGTGATAGTAAGAAGAGAGTTCATTCCTGGCAAAGGTGGGCAGCCTGCACAAAGGCATAGAGGTGAGAGATGGCATGCTAAATTCTGGGGAAGAAAGCAAATGAACCCATGTAGAATCAGAGTATATAAAGAAGTATAATATGGACTTCATGTGTAAAGGTAATCAGGAGCCAGATTGTGATGGACTTTAAATGCCAAGCTGAGAGGTCTACATTTTAACCTAGAGACAATAAAGTGCCACAGAAGTTTCTTATATAATGTGGAGAATGGGTGGACAACAGGAAAGAATGAGATCCTGGAGTCCTAAATAGAAGGCTATTGAAATAGTACAAAAGAGAAGTGATAAGGGTCCTGGATTAGATTCATTGTGAAGACAGAATCAATAAAATCTTGTTTACGGACTGGAAATTATTGATATTTTATCAATGTACACTGCTCTGAGACCATTCAGAATCATGTGCTCAAAGATTTTCATAGCAAGGGCATCATGCATTTGTTTTTCAAATTATAAAGTAAAAGGCTGATTACTAATTGTTGACAGACTCCCTTACTGAACAATCTGTGGTAAAAAAAGTTTTCAGTGAGGAATGAGCCCACGAAAAATACATCTATTTCCTAGACTAGGATTCAACAACTCTGGGGTAAGCAAAATTATTTTTTCATAACAGGATAGATAGGAGGGCAGCTAGATGGTGTAGTGGATAGAGCACTGGCTCTGGAGTCTGGAAGACCTGAGTTCAAATACGGCCTCAGACACTTGACACTTACTGTGTGACCCTGAGCAAGTCATTTAACCTCTCATTGCCTTAATCCACTGAAGAAGGAAATGGCAAACCACTGCAGTATCTTTGCCAAGAAAACTCCAGGAACAAGTATGGTCTACAAGGTCACAAGGGTTAAACATGAATAAACAACAACAAACATTGTGAGAAACCTGAGGCTAAATAAAGGCAACATTTTTGCACAGGGTGTCTGTCCTCCACAGTGCTTCTATAAACAGACAGCCTCCAGAAAGTTGCCACTTTCCTTTCAAGGCCTAGCTAGGGACCTTAAATGCGCAGTGTGGACTCTAAAATGTTCCTCCTTACTGCCTTTACCTCATCCCCAAGACCTGCCCAGCCCCATCAATTATCAACCTTCTTCACACACACACACACACACACACACACACACACACACACAGAGGAAGACCTGGCATGTCAGTTTGAAAAGGATGCTTATCCCTTCTCTTGACAGTGGCAACTAAACCTTTTGACATTTGCAGCATTCTTTCCTCACTTGATTTCATTATACCTGCCTTTCCCTTCCCCCCCATGCCACTATATGATGGTTGATATTCTTATTTTAAAAATTAAAATAAACTAAAATTAATCTGGTTTTGGTATATTCATGACACTCCTTGAAATGACTGCTAACAAAACCAAAACTGGAAATAAAAGCACTAGGTAAGTGCAACAAGTTTAACCTAATTTGACCTGGTGCAAATTATAGGGGAACAAAGATGCATTCATTATAAGAAATAGGTCATAAAACAAATTTCATCTCAAAGAATCTTATAAATTATTTTCAAAAATTCTAAATTTACAGAAATTCTCACAATACCCTACAAAGTAGGCAGTACAAAGGTGAGGCTCAGGAAGGTTCAGACTTGCCCATGGTCAACACAGTTGTTAAGTGTTCAATGGAAGATTCAAAGCCTTAAGGTAGGGTGAATCCATATCAGGACAAAGAGTCAGAGGCCACTGCCACTACAGCTCAACCCCTTGACAAGCCACTCGGTCCCTCCACAGTAGAAAGAAACGGTTAACTTAAATGACCTTAAATGATCCTTTCCAGCTCTAAATGTGTTACTTTAGGAACCCAGCCTATAACTCCCAGTCTAGGGTTCTTTCCTCCTTCAAGTCAACTAAATTCCCAAAGGCAAGAAGACTTTCCCAGTCCTCCTTACAATCCTAATGCCTTCCCTCGGAGACTTCCCGGAATTTATTCTGTATATATCTTGTTTGTACATATTTTGTTTGCATGTTGTTTATTCTATTAGACTGTGAGATGGGGGGGTGCTTTTCTTTGTATCCCCAGAGCCTGGCACACAGTAGGCACTTAATAAATGCTAGTTGTTGACATCACTTCAGCTTTCCTCCTAAGTCACACAAAGGTTCTGGTAGCCAGATCCACATGAAAAACTGAAGTCTGCAAAAGGAAACGGGGCAGAAAAGAGGAGGGTCCCTCTCTTCCTTCCTGCCGCCCGCCCCTGCTCTGCCCCGCTGGGCTCTGCTCTCCCCTCCCCTCCCCTTCCTCAGCTTTTCCGAATCCACAACAGGTGAAGGAGGGAACTGTCCAAGGTTATCTACCTGACTCAGGGGCTTAGGAGAGGCCTAAAACAGCAGCACGGGGCGGGGGGGGGGCTTTAGCAGGGGCTCTAGAGGACGGGACCAACAACTCCTCCTACGAGTTTAAAAAAAAAAAAGACTTCACTCGAAGGCATTTATTATGCTGACCGAGTGCCAGACGCGGCACGGAAAAACAAAACCAGCTCCCCGCTCACTCCTAAGGGTGGAAACTTGAACCACAAGCAAGGCCCGAGATGAGCAGGGGGGAGCCCAAATAGTGAGCGGGAGCCTGCCCTGGGAAGGCGCTGCGGGGCAGGCCAAGGCAGAGCTCGCTGGGGGCGAGGAGGGCGGGCGTGCTCGGCCTGGCTGCGGCTGGCGGGCAGCCGGGCGCTCCCTCCTCCCCGCGGCCCTCGCCTCGCCTCGCCTAGCCCCGTGGGTCGGTCCCTCCCTCGCTCGCTCGCTCGCTCGCTCACCTCCTCGGCGTGCTTGCGCAGTGCCTTCTCGCGCTCGTACTGGGTGATGAGCTGCTCGTTGTCGTCCCGCAGCAGCTCGAGCTCCACCTGGTGCTCCTGGTCCTGCGCGAACACAGAGTCCAGGTTCTCGAGCACGGCCACCACCAGCGGCATCAGCTCCTTCACCACCTCCTCGTCGTAGCGCCCGATCAGGCGCTCGAACTCGCGGTAGATGGAGCCCGCCAGGCCGGACACCCGCTCCGACATCACGGCCCCGGAGCCGCCTGGCTCCTCTTGGTACACCACGCCGTCTTCCAGCTCCATGGTGCCGGCGCGGCCCAGCCCGGCTCCGGGGAGACCGCACGGGCCCGGCAGGGGAGGGGAGAGGGGGAGGAAGGGAGGGAGGGAAGTCCGCTCGCCCCAACTGCCACCCGCCGCCACCGCCGCAGCGCCGCCAACTGCCCAAGCTGTCCAGCCAGCGGCGCAGCGCCCGCGTCACCGACGGGGGGCGGGGCTCCGGGTGGCCGCAGCGGCCGCGCGAGGTGGGGCTTTCCCGGGAGGCGGAAAGGGGGCGGGGCGGAGATGGCCTTATGTCATCGGTAAAGCGAAGGAAAGAGGAGGTGCTGGAAGAGGGAGGAACGTCCTAAATCTTCCTTCCTTCCCCCGCCCAGTCTCGGGTTCAGAAGCACGTGGGGTGGAAGGCATACATGTCTTGGACGGTGCAAAGGTCTGCAGAAGAGGAATCATAAGATAGTGCTTGTGGGCGGGACTGGAAGGGGCGTGGCCTAAGCAGAGGGAGGGCTTATCAAGGAAGGTCGAATAGAAGGAGAGGGAAATTCCATTTGGAAAGAGGGGGGCGGGTACTCCCAGAGTGGGCGGGGCATGCTTTGGGATGTGGGCGGGGCCTGCTTTGGGATGTGGGCGGGGACAGGGATGATTTTGGGGGAGTGGTTTGGGAACCCTCCAGTAGAGGAGAGCGGGATTTGAGTGGGAAGGCCGAATCTGTCTTGGAGATGGGCGGGGAGGGTAACACCCTGTCTAGCCTCCTTCGGAAATTCTGACCCCATGAGTGTGTGTATCTCCTGTGCTCTGGGAGGGGTGTGCTATTTCCTCTCTTCTGCTGCCCTCCTTTTCCACCCTTTCCTGTAAAGCTCCGGAGGAAAGGTCGGCAGGGGCTCCTTAGGGGGAAAGAGGCCTGCTGGGGTAGTAAAGTGGAATGGGGGGTAACGAGTAAGAAAAAGAAAAGAAAACCCGGAGAGGAACTGGGATGAAGCCCCTAGGGGTGAGTCTCCTGGGCTGTGAGAAGTATCAGGTCACTGGGACTGCATCCCATGCCGGGGATGATGCAACTCTAATCGCTGAATTGAAAGAGACCTTAAAGGTCACCTAGGCCACACAAAAGCCTGGGAGTGGCTTAGGCATAGAGCCCTTCCAGGCTTTCTTCCTAGAAACGAGAGGGTTTTCCAAAATTAGCCCCTTTCTAGCTCCTAGTTCCGTCCTTATTTTCACCGACTGTCTCCAAAGCTTGGGATTCTCTCCCTCCTCGTCACCTCTTCCCAGTCTTCTCTGGTTTCTGTCTAGACTCAGCTAATATCTTCATTTTCTTCAAGAAGCTTTTCGGGAGCCTCCTTAATTCCCTGCTTTTTGTCAAGACTCAGCTAATATTCCACTTTTAGAAGCCTTTCCCAGTTCCCCTTAATTCCGTGCCTTCTCCCAGTGATTATCTCCAATTTATCCTGTGTATGTCCTTATGTATTTGTAAAGCGCTTACACAGACTGACTCAGAGCAGGTGCTTAATAAATAAATGCTTGTTCCTTTTATTTCCATTTAAACTATGCATAGATGTTTGCTTGTTGTTTTCGGCATTATGTGGTGAGCTCCTTGAGGGCAATAACTGTTTGCTTTTCTTTGTATCCCCAAGGTCTTAGAACAGTGCCTGGCACTTAGGAGGAGCTTAAGAAATGCTTCTTTACTTAAACTGATTTAACCCATTATCCCTTTCCAGTACTTCTTACTTTTTTCCTCTGTATCTGCAGAAGGAGAAGGGACTCTCCTCCAGTCACCTAATATATTGCAGGATGGTGACCTTGGCATTCCCATCCTCTCCTCTCCAGGCCTGATCCAGCCACCTCAATTTGTCAACCATCAATTAAATTCTTACTGTGTGTAAGACTGAGAGGTAATGTGCCCTAATGGATAAAAAGTTGGTCTCCAGTCAGGATTATCTGGGTGCAAGTCTTACCTCTGACAAGTACTAGCTGTGAGACCCAGAGCAAAGTCACTGAACCTCCCAGTGCCACCGACAGCTCACTAAAGAGACTATCAGTTGCTGAGGAGTTGTTTGCATGCATTGGTAAAGAGAGTTACTTCTTAGGAGTTCCTCCTACCTATAAAATTACAGGTTCAGTTAAAAAACTGTTCAAGGCAATAGAGATTCAGAAATAAAAGTAAAAGTTTCTTTTCTCAACTCAGGAAGTTTACATTCTGCTGGGGTAGGGGGTGGGAGATATGATGTGTACATAGATTAGTATAATATCAACTTAGAGGGTGTAACCAGGGGTATACCTAGGCAAATTGTGTAGGTCCAAAAATGAGGCCTTTGTTTGGGACTTCGAATAGTAATTCAAGTGGGAGGGATCTACTTGGCCCTAGGGGAATTTGGTGACAATACTCCTAGAAATTCCTGAACTCAGCTTCCTAGGGGGAAAAGTAAGAAATTTGGATCCCAGTGTCATATGTCAAGACTCCTAGAGTGAAGAGGGAAAAGTTTTGAATATTAGGAAGTTCCTGGAACCAGCTTCTTAAGGAGAAGAGGCAGAACCTTGTGGCCTCCATTACTAATGTGAATTGTGTGTCTTTGTAAGTCTCAAGGATGGTGGATCTATCATTCTCTGTGTCTCTGTATTTGTGTTTCTCTTTCTCTCTATCTGTCTCTGTCTCTCTGACGCCGGCCCCTCCTCCTCACCTATTTCTTCTTTTTTACCTCTTTCTACCTGGAGCACAGCATCATGGACCTACTTTCTGGGAGTGTGGCACGGCAGGGGAAGGAAATAGAGAACCTGTGCCCAAATAAAAGAGGAGTTCCTGGACCTTTAGTGCCTGACCACCTCCTGCTTTCCATTTTCTTTTCTGAGTCCAGGCAAAAGATCAGAAACCTGATAGTAGATTTCCCCAGCTTAAGAGATAGAAGCAACTGGTGTACTGAGCAGTTTCCTTCTGAAAAAAATAATATGGCAGAGGCAAATATATGCATGACCATTCATCCCCAAGTCTGGGCATTTCCAAACTAGGAAGTTCTCCCAAGAGAGAGAAGGGGATTTCTTAATGTATCATGCTACTTCAGAGAAAAAAAATTAAAAAGAGAATAATCCACATAGTACCTGCACAGCATCTTACTTGGAGAACCAAGCCAATGACTTACTCAGGCAATGCAGGCAGGTCCTTCAGGCAGGGTTTTGCTTGTTAAAGCAACCCTACCAAGTGTGTTTACCTCATGAGGGTGGGGTGAGAAGAGTCTTAACCACAGGATTGTACCATGAGTATGAGGCTGTGTATGACTCAGGGATAGAGGGATTTTTTTCTTCCCTTTCAGACTTCTCTGAGGGAAACTGAGGTATAGTGAAGGGATATGGCTAGGTGAAAGTTAGCAGAAGAGGCCAAAATGAAGGATAATGTCTTTGATCTTCTTGCTAATGACTTGGAAGGCAGGGCTAGAGGGTTCTGGGGCTTGACATTCAGCCAACTGATCGACATTCCTAACAATCATAGCACACACAAAAAAATTCAATAAACGTTTACTAAGTTTGTAATGTTGTGTACAAGACTGTGCTGAGTGCTGGGATAACAAAGATGAAATAAGCCACACTCCCTGTTCTCAAAATGCTTACAACTTAACAGAAGTCATAAGACATTCCTTTAATGTCCAAATCAAGGGCCACCTCCTCTCTGGCTGAAAGTGATTTCTACTCAAAATTCGATTTTTACCTCCTCTTCTGTCCTTATTGATATCATCCTTGTCTGTATGTCTCGTGCCTCCTGTTAGATTTTATGCTCTTTGAGAAGCAGGGCAGGGGCTCATCTCACCTTTGCTGCCCCAGCACCTGACACGGTGTCTTGTACATAATAGTGTGATACAAGCGTAGAAGAGAGGGTCAGAAAACTTGCTATGAGACAATTGCAGTGGGAGGGGCTAGCCTTTTTTGCCTGGCCCCAGAAGGCAGCACCAGCAGCAGTGGGTAAAAGTTTCAAAAGCAAGTTTGGACTTGGTTTCTGAAAACACTTATACTGACAGCTATTAAAAAAGGGAATGCTGCCTCAAGAGGTAGCAGATTGCCATCCAACTCTCCCCTCCGAGGTCTTTAAGCAATGGTTCCGTGACCAGAAGGGGTTCCTTTCATGTGTAGGTTGGACTAGATGTCCACGAAGGTCATCTCAAATTCTGTAATTCTGACACTGGGGACACTGAGATAAGAGCAATACCATGAGTATTCTCCATTTACATAGTATAAAGTAACTCTGGGTAAGAGTAATAAGTCAATCAGAGAAAACGGCCTTTTGGGCTCAGCCCTAGGATTAGACCATAGTAGCTCAGAAGGTTGGGGAGAATGCTGGTTGATTGTATCTTGAGGGTAAAATCTATGGAGACATGCTCTTTTTGATGCCTCCAAACAAAGGTCTATTACCTATAACTTACTTTAGGTGATTAGGGAACTCGTTGATTGGGGATTCCCCTGATCACCACCCTCACCTCTATAAGACCTGTCAGTCTGCTTCTAACCTGCCTTCCAATTCAACAAACATTTATTGACATCCTATGTGCAAAATACTGTACCTTTCTCACTTCATCCCATCCTTCTTCCCTTTTGTCTCATTCAGACAAACTAGACAGTTCATCACACTCAATTTTTGTCTTGCCTCAATGCCTTTTTTCATAATATCCCATGCCAGGAGTGGACTCCATCTGGGTCTATTGCACTCTCTCTCTTCCTTTAATGTCCAAATCAAGGGCCACCTCCTCTCTAGCTGAAAGTGATTTCTACTCAAAATTCACATAGCATTTTTAACCTGCTCTTTTGTACTTATCGATTATCGTCCTTACATGTCTCTATGTCTCGTGCCTCATGTTAAATTATATGCTCTTTGAGAAGCAGGGCAGGGGCTCATCTCACCTTTGCTGCCCCAGCACCTAACACAGTGTGTTGTACATAACAGACATTTAGTAAATGTTTATAGGATGGAGTTGTTTGTGTGTATGTATGTGTGTATGAATGTTAGGAATGCTGAGCAGCTGGCCTGGTGTCAAGTCCCAGGTGCTCTCTCTCTGCTTTTTCAGTCCCTGGCAATAACATGATCCAAAGACATTACCCTCCTCAGCTTGGCCTCTTCTAGTAGCCTCCACCCATCTCCCCTTTCTGTGCCTCAGTTTCCCTAGGAGGAGATAAAAAAGGGAAAAAAGCCTCTTGTACTCT